CATAGCTAAAAAATAACAACAGTAACTAAAAGCTAAGGCCAGTAAAACCATAGCTAAAAAAATAACAACAGTAGCAAAAAGCTAAGACCAGTAAAACCATAGCTAAAAAAATAACAACAGTATCTAAAAGCTAAGACCAGTAAAAGCATAGCTAAAAAATAACAACTGAAGATAAAAGCTAAAACCAGGAAAACCATAGCTAAACATTAAGAACAGTAGCTAAAAGCTAAGATCAGTAAAACCGTAGCTAAAAATAACAACAGTAGTTAAAAGCTAACACCAGTAAAAGCATAGCTAAAAAATAACGACAGTAGATAAAAGCTAAAGCCAGTAAAACCATAGCTAAATAAAATAACAACAGTAGCTAAAAGCTAAGACCATTAAATGCATAGCTAAAAATTAACAACAGTAGCTAAAAGCTAAGACCAGTAAAAGCATAGCTAAAAAATAACAGCAGTAGCTAAAAGCTAATGCCAATAAAACCATAGCTAAAACAATAACAACAGTAGCTAAAAGCTAAGACCAGGAAAACCATAGCTAAAAATTAACAACAGTAGCTAAAAGCTAAGATCAGTAAAACCATAGCTAAAAATAACAACAGTAGCTAAAATACAAAATTAGCAGTGGCTAAAAGCTAAAATGGCTGTCATTTCATTAATGACTTTAGTAATGGAATAACTGCTTATTGATAATGTTGGATTAAAAATAACATTAAAAAACAGTAGTTTAAATCTAAATGATAATTCATTTGCCAAATAAAAGTTAAAAATGAAGCAAGTAATTTAAAGGAGATTTTAATAAAATGTCCACAAAAGTTGTTGGATTTGAAGAGTTGTCCACTCATTTAAAGGAAAAAAAATGTAAACAAAGTTTGTTTTTTAAGTACAGAAGTCTAAACAAATTAAACCAATTTACATAATGTCATAAATGAGCTGAGCGTTTTGATATATGAATGGTTAAAATAGCTGTAACTATAAACAGGAAAACAATAGTGTGGACACTAATCCAAATTTGTACTTTTTTTTTTTTTTACTGATCTCTCACCTCAGTGATTGCCCCGTCAGGCTGCCGGAGGAAGTGTCTGTATTTTTGCTTCAGCCCACTCAGGTACAGGGTGTAGATGATGACGTGGGTTTCCCTCTCAGGTGGAGGTGCTCCCTCACTGGGGGGCTCCTCAACAGGGGCTGCAGCGTCTGATGGGGGCTCCTCTGCAGTCCAGATGTAGTCATGCACAGCCACCTACTCAATCAGACACAATAGGAGAAAATAGTTTAAAATAAAATGTTCAGTTTTAGTTTAAATCACAGATTATTTCACCAATGAAAGCAAAAAGAAGGAATGCTTTGTGAGACTGCAGAGATTATACGAGCTCCAGTGGAGTAAAATGTGAGTCCTATGAGACCTGAGCTGTAGCAGGTAAAGAGGCAGGTTGTGTTTGGGATCATATTAGCTGTATAATCCAGATGGATGCCTTGTTTATGACTCCCCCTCTGCGTGTCCATGCGCATGTATCGGAGGCTGACACACCTGTAATGTGCTGCTCTTCTGTATCCGGGTGAGACATGGCAGCTAGCGGGGCGTGTAACATGTTATATAGGTCATCTAACTTGGAGTCATCCATGTGTGAAGATCATGGAAGCTTTTTCCCCTCCCTGAGAGGGTTTACCAGTGAAGGCTGGAAATTATAATGGTGTCTAATCTCGTATATCATATTTACAAAATAAAAGAAAATAAAAGAAAGGCGTAGCGTTCCTTAAAGGAATGCATATCACCCACTCCATTTCATGCCTGAGTTTTAGGCAAAGATTATCTTATGTTGAAGAAAAAATAAAGAGTTATAGCTGTTGTTGTCTAAGCTTGACCAAAATTCACTAGATGTTTTAATGCACAGATTATCTTGATTGAGTTATACTCACTATTGTGTTGTCAGCTGTTGAATAGCCATGTTTGGAGACATGTTAGCACCCAGAGTATGTATTGGGGATGACTCTCAGCTACTATCACACCAAATGTTAGCTCAGTGTTTGTAAAACTGACAGTTAGAGCCACTTTTGCGTTTTCTGTGATGGATATTCTGAGTTGGATTAGCTCCAAATGTTATTCAAATATAGATGTGCACTTAAAGATTACTTTCTGATAGTTACATTATAATCCATTTTGTGGTTCATGATATGTTTTGCTAACAGACAAACAGGGTTGACTGCAATAATTAATACCAAAATCCTGTATTTCTGATTGTATTTCTTAAATTCTGACTGTAAGCCACTACTGTGTCAAATTTCAACTTAACACCTGTGAAACTGACCTGGTTGAAACCTTTTTTTGTTTACTGGGTTTAGCTGTGGCAGCCATTTTGAAAAGAGTTTACTTCAAAAATGAAATAGCTGAGGCAATGCTTACTTTTTAAGAATTTCAATGATGTTACGTGATTCAAGGATTAATTTGGTAACGGAAAGACACACAAAGGAGCATAACAAGCTGAAATTAGCAGAAAGATGCAGGGGGAGGGCGCTCCGCATCATGAAGGACTCCGCTCATCCTGCACACAGTCTGTTCCAGCCCCTCCCCTCCTCAAGCAGGCGGCTGAGGAGCATTCGGAGCAAGATCACAAGGCTCAGAAACAGTTTATTCCCTGCAGCTGAACTCAAAATGCACTTAATACAGCTTAATTTTATCATATATATATATATATATATATATATATATATATATATATATATATATATATATATATATATATACACACACACACTCTTTTGTATTTATTTATTTGTTAATTGTTAGGCTTAAAACATGCAAATGTGAGCTGGTATAACAATAAAAATCCTTGAATCCTTGAAATAAAGCAATACTGACATATGTGAACCATTTGACCTAAAAGTCTAAATTCACACAAAGCACACATTTTTCTTTAGAACAATATTGCAGGACCTACTGGTATTGGATATCCACATGCTTCTACTTACAGTAAAGAGCACGGTTAAAATTTTAACAGAGCAACTGACTCACACCAGTGAGCACACAAATCCAAAAAGCCACACACACACATTCTATCAAAGTCATAAAGAGAAGGAAGTTTTTCAAGGTGACCCCCTAATTGGGCATGTAATTATGATTCGTCTAAAAATACTGAAAGAAAAAAAAAGGCACACTCATTGAGCGGGCCGTGAGTGGCAGGGTCACGCTGAAGGAGAGGTGTCTCGGTGTCACCCCTACACTTTTAAACAGTTAGCCAAACACAACTCAAGGCACTTCACTGAGAAAACAGAGCCATTACCACACTTGTAATTAGAGACGTAGTGTAAAGTGCAAAGCAGACATCCCTGTGTGCAGAAAGGCCCTCATTGTTAAAGTGTCAGGGAGTCAGGGAAGCAAGTGTGTGTAGGGTTAGAAAGGGATGTTGGGATGCATCTCTTCAACGCTAATTTAGACTCTCATTAGTGAAATCGCCTCAGCTGCAGTTCGCCTCTGGCTTGGCCTCGGCCCACACTGGGGTAACTGATTACCTGAGATTTTAAGTAATCAGCACCTCTGCAAGGCAGCAATCAGTCTGTTTGGATAACACGTGTACGCTGATTTTCTCCCCCTTTTCTCTTTAGGAGGAAACCCAACTGAGTGTAAAAGACTGACTTCTCCCCATAGATACAGGATCTAAGATATATGCTAAACAAAACATTACAAGATACAAGAGATACATTAACACTAATAATGTAAAATAACATGGTATATTAAATAGCAGCCTGAACATGAGGCTGTAGTGAGCAGATGGGTATGATTATAGCAACATGAAGGCAAGAAATCAGCAGCATGGATGATCAGCAGTACAGATAAGTCTCACCAATCAAAGTGGCATTACAGTGATTTTTCTGGTTAGGGGTTCATGAGTCTAACAGCCTCAGGGTAGAAGCTGTTCCTCAGTCTAGTGGTTAAACACATAATTCTCCTCAACCTCCTTCCTGAGGGGAGCGGGGCAAAAAGTGTGTGTGCTGGGTGAGTGGGGTCCTTCATGATGCAGGTGGCCTTCTTCCTACATCTGTAGGTGTAGATGTCTGTGATGGTGGGGAGGCTGACTCCAACAACTGACTTCAACGTGGTGTATCAGGTCAAATGAACATTGCAATTGTCCTTTCATTTGTGATCCTTACTTTTGCCAGAAAGAAGTACAATCTATCCAATAAAACCAATGTTTGAATGCAGAAGCAGTGTTTAAAATGTAAGTACACACTCACTGCTGATGCACATTAATGGTATTTTAGCACTTTTCTGTCATCAAGTTTTGCTCCACTGTTAAAAATGGGCTGAAATATTGGAATTAAAAAAGTTATTGTGTTCGTGGGTTTGAACAACATGCATGTCTTGCAATAGAACATGTTCGTACAATAATAATAATAATAATAAGAAAAAAATCAAGTAGTCATGGGAAGCTATGGAAGTATTTAAATTAAAAATTGTCAATCTTGGCTGTGCACCATGTGCAGCCCAGCTGACAAAGCATCAGGTTGGGTATAGTTTGAACTCCTTTTTAAAGTGGTGTAACCACGGGACCATCAGCTGAAGAGCTCGTCTCTACCATATGGTGGACATAAACATAAAACTGTTTCAAGGCTAAGCTCCATATGTAATGAATATATCTGTTGAATGTGATGAACTGAAGTTTCTGGTTTACCAGCATAAAAATGTGCCATAAAATATAAAAACTACTGGAAATTTCCAGAATTTTTATTTTTTTATTTTTTTATTTGATCAAATATTTCTGTTAGAAGCTGTTGACAACAGTAAACTTGAATCACTCTGGCAGGTAGGCGTTAAGGCAACACATCTACCTGCTGTCAAACTCTTCTCTAAACATAAAAGGGAAGATCCTTCTTTGCAAAACCAGGAAAAAAAACATAAAATGGTTTGAAACTTTGAATTATGTGGTTACTTTTTACCATAACTACTTATTAGTTTCCTGAAATATGACCTATCTAGGATTTAACGCTCTGTTTGTCCGCTGACTTCTGGGAATAGGCAAAAGCTTCTGAACACGATCAACAGGTGTAGAAAAAGTACAGATGGATATTGTTTTTTCACTATCACTAATGTTTAAATGATTAACAGGTAGAGAGCTTTTCTCATCTAGCGGCCACAGGAAGTGTATATATGACCTAATTATGGCCCCTCACCAGAACTGTACAAACCAAGCTGTACAGCGATGATAGAAACACAATAGATCCTGGCTCTATACAATACGTCACTTTGGTTAAGCATACCTGCTTGAATTCTCTGACGTGGTATGCGTGAGTATGTATTTTGGCTGGCATGAAAATAGGTTTTCTTAGGTTAGCCATGCTACCATCCTACACCAATTAGCACGTGAAATCAAGCTGACAAGACAAGACAAAAGCTTGAAAAGGTGTTTGTGCGTTCGGTTTGGATGATGCCATTTCATGCAATGCAACATGGCTCTCATGATGCATCACTGCTGAGACACAAAAAAGGAAAGAGCATTAGAGGGCCTGTCTGCTCGGCAATACTCTGTTCTGGTCTGTTGTGTTGCGTTATGGCGCTAGCCTGGCTTCTAGCCCTAGCTTGAGTGCTCTCTCCACTCCACCATTGTTCCATTTGATAGCAGTAAATGACTGATTTAGGTTCAATGGTTGCACAGAGCAGACAGGCCAGCTGTGGGTTAAGCAGATAGCATTCAAGTGAGTTAACCCAATTCAAACCCAATCAAGTCAGGATTTATTGTTGAGGTCTGTATTTAGAAATCTGATAGAGTCCGCATCAGTCCTTTGACTTGTATCAGAGAAGACAGGTCTTATTTCTTTTAGTGGAGGGCTATAAACGGCAAACCATGTTTTCCAGCAGGGACATAAATTTTAAAATTTGTAGACATTACCACAAATGCACATCGGGAGAGAGGGACATGCGCTCGAGAAGGGGGGATGACACATCTGCCAACATGGCTCTGTGGTTTACAAAAATAGCCTTTCTTTCCTGAAAAAAGCAATTTTACACAAATTCTAAATTAACAAACACGAAGGCAGAGTAAAGCAGTCAGTTTGTAAGAAGAGCACCTTTGTACATGTTTTTTTAAGTGACTGAGTGACTTGTAATAACATTTTGTTGGTAGGAATGGGCAAACACAGACCATCAAGATTTAATTTCAAATGTTGACCCACAAAATGAATAAACTCTGTATGTTCTATAAACTATTGTGCAATAAATAGAGGGGGGGGGGGGGGGGGGGGTGGTGG